CAGTATCAACAAGGATGTTGTACTTGATGAAATCACGTTCACCACCGAGTAGGAGGTAAAGCTGGCAGGAGAAAGAAAAGGTGATATGACTTCAATACATTGAATGAAAAAAAAAACGCCTCGGGAAATCAGTCGGTGAATAAGACATGACGTCACAGGTGAACAATTGCTACAGCTACACACAAAACTACCCCCCCCCACTGACCTTATTATACAGTTTTTTCTGCACACCAAAAGTAAAAATTAGGTTATGCTTGACATTTGTTGATTATATATTTTGTAGTTAATGTAGAACAGAAAACAATAAACGGTAAAAAAAAAAAAAAAAAAGTTACCTTGCATTGCTGGGGAAATTATATTAGGCCTATATTTAACTGCACAATACATGACATTTCTGTAAAATAGGCCTACTAATGTTGTTTTGTTTATTTGTTTAATGTTTATTGCATTATATTAGTTCCATATATGTTACACGGATGCTGTTTTATCTTTTTATCTTAGTTATTGTTCATGTAAAAGTCACAAATGATATATTTGATACTTCATGTGGCCTTCTGTTACAAGTGTTAGTTATTATGGAGGATATCAGTATAGGCCTATATTTTAAGATAGAAAGCATAGGTATTAACATATCATTTGAATGAAATGTATGGATTCATTTATGGAATATTTATTAAATATAAATTATGTTCCATTTCCACGTTCCATATCTAATTTTCACTTTGATATTGATAGATTGTCACATGGTACCTCTCCAGCGGTGGACATGGCGTCATCTGAGTGAGGAAACAGCCTTGCGCACACTGGAACGAACCATTCCCGTATCAGCGAGAGAGAGAGAGAGAGCGAGGAGAGAAAGAAAGAAGCGAGAGGGGGAGGAGTGAGGGTAGCACCGGGTTCGCTATGAGCCATGTTGGATGTGAATGAGAGATGCTGCGCTCGTGCCGCTGCTAGCCGGAGCTCTACCAAACACCGAGAGTAGATGCTAGCTTCCCGGGATCACCGAGCGACCGGGGAGCACGGCGGAAGGAGTCGGGCGGTGGTGGATGAGCTGGTCACTTAGCCGGCGTTTGGAGAGAGAAAGAGAGACACTTCGGTTCAGAGAGAGGGGAGAAAGGGGGGAGAGAGAGAAAGGATTTCACCAGACTAATGGCTGCACTGCTACTGGACTTGGGCTCGCTTTCGCCGCTGTTGTTTCTCCTTCTCCTCAGCTCTTTGTTCACTGTTATCCCGGGGAGTGCAGCAGGGCCGTTCTGCCGCTCCCTGTGCACCCACCCAGCCCCCGGAGACGCTCAAATCGCCAGCTTGCCCGACGGAACGGTAACGGGGGCTTTGGCTGGGGGCGATTGGAAGATCCACCCTGCACGGACGGTACAGTCGCGAGGACGGGAAACGCAATGCTTACGCTCCTGTGCAGTGGAACCCCCCTCAGATCCGTTGAGTCCGGATTACCGGAATTCTAGTGCATGGATATCAGAACCGGCGGCGCACACCGGACGCTGTCATCACCAGCCTCTTTGGAGTAACGGTGGCAGCGGAGAGAAGGGCGTTGTTTCTCGTGTTCTCGCCTCTTCGGTTCAGTACGGCAAAAAGAGGACTATACAAAGGACTAGAACGCACTCGCGGCCACAGACGCGCCTCGACACGGACAGGGTCATTGCACACAGCGTGCTGGATAACTGTAGAACCGTGGATAGCATATCCAGGCCTAACCACTGCCCATGTCACCCAAAACGGGAGTTTGTCGCTGCCAAGACACCAACTCGGCCGTTATTAAAAGCCTATTCTTATTTGAATGTGGTTTCGGACGCCAATAAATTGTATAAAGCGACAGCGGACCGTCCCCTTTCAGGCCCCCTGAATGTTATCGATCTCACCAGAGAGGGCTGGAACGGGTCAGGCATTAGGAATACCCGCGGGTGCTCAGAACCGAGCGCGTGGCAGCTCTCTCTAGGGCTTGGAAGCGACGCAAGCAGCTATCTCGAGTCACACCGGATCAGAGGTTGTTCTGAAAGGCATCCAGACTGGCACAGCAGTAACTGGCACCGGTTCAACATCTCTCTGAGGCGTTACGCTGTTTGTGCAAGGCAGGCAAGAGAAAATACAAACACCACATCTTCAAATAACAACTCAAAAGTAGAGTTTGTGCATGCAAAGTCTGATCGGAATAGTCCACAAAAGTCTTCTTGTGCACTCGAACGGACTGATGCTCGGGATTTAATGCCACAGGCTGTCTGGGTCAGGACTGGGACTCGTTTTGATGACAGAAAGGCTCATTATAATGGATCAACTGGAATCAGCGCTGCTCAGTTGTATATCGGCGATGTACACAACTCTGACTCATCTGCTACTGGCTCTCCCAGGGGTCATAATGCATCACATATCTACCTCTTAGTCGAGCTAAACTTTCCTAAACGTTTTCGTGACTCACACAATCACACGCGTGCAGAGCGCGCGAGAGAAGATTCAGCACCCGCTCAGTGGGCAGCGCCAGACTCCGTGCATGAGCTCGCTAACTCGAGCCACTATACTGAAAGTTTGTTGCTGATGGATTGGAACAGTAACAATAACAACAACTGCGCCAAAAATCGTAATAATAACCACCACAACAACAGCAGTCCTGGCGATCAAAATGCAAATGAAACCCAAAATGTTCCAGACAGTGAAGAGCGCGACTTTATAAGAGGGGAAAGCGCACGTTATCCTTGCTCCAGTGCGCGTGCAGAGTGTGGCGACTATGACAGCTTAAACGCCGATGGGGGAGCCACGCGGCCGCAATTAAAATCCGGTAAACGGGTGTCATTACAAGCTGAGGGTGTCAGTCAGCAAAAGGAGCAGCTGGAAGCCGCGACTGAGTGCGGTAGGAGGGAGGGACAGATAGAGGGCGGGGTGAAAGGGGAGGGTGACAGACAGCCTGTAGAGGGAGAAAGGGAGGAAAGCATGGAGTGGGTGATTGCAGAAGACACAAAGGAAGAGGCAGTGTTAGAAGAGAAAAAATTACTGAGAGAAAAAGGTCAAGGCAATGGCACCTCTCAGTCAGACAGAGAGAGTGATGAAAACAAAGAGGGAATATGGACTGAACAAAATGAGCTTAAACGTGAAAGTGTAGATGGGGTGGAAAACACACAAAAAGATCAGTACACTGCAAAACAAAAAGCAAGAGAGAGTGATGAAGTTCAGAGAGGAGAGGAGCAAGAGTACATCGAAGAACAAACAGGTGTCCCTCCTGTTGGGCGCTCCCGTAGAGCTGCTAATAGGCACCCCCATTTCCCCCAGTATAACTACCAGGTTCAGGTTGCTGAGAACCAGCCTCCTGGTACCTCAGTCATAACTATGACAGCTGAGGACCCTGATGCTGGTGAGGCAGGCAGACTCAGTTATAGCATGGCCCCTTTAATGAACAGCAGGTCCATGGATTACTTCCAAATCGACCCAATTACTGGCCTTCTCACCACCACACACGTTCTGGATCGAGAACACATGGACCTGCACTACTTCCGAGTTACTGCCACAGACCATGGCTCACCACGCCTTTCTGGAACAACTATGGTGACCATCACTGTGGCTGATCGTAATGATCACTCTCCTGTGTTTGAGCAAACAGAGTACCGAGAGACCATTCGAGAGAACGTGGAAGAGGGATATCCTATACTGCAGCTGCGAGCAACAGATCTCGACTCGCCAGCGAATGCTAACATACGCTACAGATTTATTGGAGAAAGTGCAGCTGTTGCACGTTCTGCGTTTGAGATTGATCCCCGATCAGGCTTGATCACGACACGAGGTATTGTTGACAGAGAAGCAAATGAACGTTATACATTGTTGGTGGAAGCAAGCGACCAAGGGAGAGAGCCGGGCCCACGGTCTGCTACCGTTAGCGTCCATATCACTGTGTTGGATGAGAACGACAATGTTCCACAGTTCAGTCAAAAGCGATATGTGGTTGCCATTAGAGAAGATGTCCGGCCACATTCTGAAATCCTCAGAGTCAGCGCCTCGGACCAGGATAAAGATGGGAATGCTGCTCTGCACTACAACATAATCAGCGGGAACAGCCGAGGGCAGTTTGCGATTGACAGTGTTACTGGAGAAATCCAGGTAGTAGCACCGCTGGACTTTGAGACGGAACGGGAGTACACGCTACGGCTGCGGGCTCAGGACAACGGCCGCCCACCTCTCTCCAACAACACTGGAATTGTGAGTGTGCAGGTTACTGATGTCAACGATAATCCACCAATCTTTGTATCCACACCCTTCCAGGCTACAGTGCTGGAGAGCGCTCCTATCGGTCACTCCATTCTCCACATACAAGCTATTGATACAGATAATGGTGACAATGCACGCCTGGAATACCGTTTAACAGGAACTGGCACAGATACGCCATTTGTTATCAACGCTGCCACTGGTTGGGTCACGGTGAGCTCAGAACTTGACCGTGAATCAGTAGAGCACTACTTTTTTGGTGTTGAAGCTCGAGATTATGGTGCTCCACCTCTTTCCGTCACAGCTAGTGTTACGATCACAGTAATGGATGTTAATGATAACCGACCAGAATTTCTACAAAAAGAGTATTACGTCAGACTAAATGAAGATGCAGCTGTTGGAACAAGTGTGTTCAGCGTAACTGCAGTTGACCGTGATGTAAATAGTGCCGTCACATATCAAATTACCGGTGGAAACACACGTAATCGCTTTGCCATTAGCACAGCCAGTGGCGCAGGACTTGTCTCACTAGCACTGCCTTTGGACTACAAACAGGAGCGCCGCTATGTGTTAACAGTCACTGCCTCTGACAGAACTCTCCACGACACCTGTCAGGTCCACATCAACATCACAGATGCCAACACACACCGTCCTGTATTCCAGAGCGCTCATTATTCAGTAAGTGTGAATGAGGACCGGCCTCCTGGCAGCACTGTGGTGGTCATAAGTGCCACAGATGATGATGTTGGAGAAAATGCCCGCATCACTTACTACTTGGAGGACAATATTCCACAGTTCCGTATAGATCCTGCAAGTGGAGCGATCACACTTCAAGCAGAACTAGACTACGAAGACCAAATGACTTACACGCTTGCCATCACTGCTCGTGACAATGGAATCCCTCAGAAGTCTGACACCACTTATGTGGAGGTCAATGTTAATGATGTAAATGACAACGCACCTCAGTTCCTGAGCCCCAGATATCAGGGTGGAGTCAGTGAGGATGCTCCACCTTTCACTAGTGTCCTGCAGATCTCTGCTACTGACCGTGATGCTCATGCCAATGGCCGTGTCCAGTATACGTTCCAGAATGGAGAGGATGGTGATGGTGATTTCACAATAGAACCAACCTCGGGAATAGTCCGGACCGTCAGGAGACTTGACCGTGAAAGTGTTCCCTTCTACGAGCTGACTGCATTTGCTGTGGATCGCGGTGTTCCGCCTCAGCGTACACCTGTACACATTCAAGTCAGTGTCATGGATGTCAATGACAATGCTCCAGTGTTTCCTGCTGACGATTTTGAGGTTCTGGTGAAGGAGAATAGTGCCGTTGGGTCTGTCGTAGCTCAGATTACAGCGACTGATCCAGATGAGGGCCCAAACGCTCAGATTATGTATCAGATTGTGGAAGGAAATATTCCAGAAATCTTCCAAATGGACATTTTCTCAGGAGAACTCACTTCTTTAATTGACCTTGACTATGAAACACGGAACGAGTACGTAATCGTTGTCCAGGCCACATCAGCTCCGCTAGTCAGTCGTGCCACAGTGCGCATACGACTGGTTGACCAGAATGATAATGGGCCCCAAATGCAAGAATTTCAAATCATCTTTAACAACTTTGTATCCAATCGATCCAACACCTTCCCAAGTGGGGTTATTGGACGAGTTCCAGCCCATGACCCAGATGTTTCGGATCATCTCTACTACACTATAGACCGTGGGAACGATCTGCATCTGCTGCTGTTGAACCACACAAGTGGGGAGATCCGCCTCAGCCGGAAACTGGACAACAACCGACCACTGGTGGCCCCGATGCTCGTCACCGTCACTGGTAAGACCAAGGGGGGAGGGAAAGATGTGAGGGAAAGGGGGAGGGAGGAAGAAATGGGGCAAGGGCTATTAAGGTCATAAGGATGAAATCAAATCAGGTCAAATTGGTTTTGCTAACTCTTTTCTGCAGTGCTCTATTATGAATATTGCTGAAGGCAATGTGTCAGTGTGGAGAGTCTATGTTAGAGGAAAAATAGAAAGAATAATAGATATCTTCAGAGAAAGCTGACCCTTGACTTGCATTTTTCTCTGTAAAGACATTTAGTGATCAATGTAAATTACTTTATGCTGGAATGATTTCTACTGGCATTAGAAGTACTGTAACAGGAGTCTCAGTGGTAACACGAGAGAGTGTAAGTGCTGAGGAGAGCATTGTTCGGCCACAGTGGCTGATGTTGTTGATGGCATTGCTGGGAAGTGTAGATAATTGTGGCTTTTAAAAGGTTATAAATGGTGATACAGACAAGGTGACTAAAATGGTAAATTTAACATGATGTGTAGGGTTTTGTGGGTTTTTGCTTGACGTGAACAATATTGCTGATTTTGTTCTGTGATTTTACCTTATCTGGCAGTTTGTGTGTGTGTGTATGTGTGTGTAAGGCATATAGGTTGGGGAGTTTGTAAGACTGCAGTGTTAGACATCTCAGTTACCCTCTGGTAAAATTCTCTCTCTCTCCTCTGAGGAAAGCACCCTTCCGTTTCCATCCTCCTTTTGCTCTTCATTTTTCATTAATTTTGCCTCCTTGCTTTTCTGTCTATCTCTTTCTCTCCCTTTTTTTCGCTTATACAGAACATATTTTTCTGTTAGGTTAAATAGTCTAAATATGTGTTTCTAAATAAGCGGAGTGGCTTTCTTCTGCATTGTACAATTTAATCAGAGTTTTGATGTCCCGAGGGAAATGGAAGGTTAAGTTGAAGGAATTTCCTATTAAATAATTCCTTTGTATTCCGCTTCACCCAGAGAAACAGCAGTTACAGTTTTCTAATGAGCGCAGCTCATTGTCTGTAAGATGAGATGACAGTTTGAAACTCAGTGTCGCTTTTATCTTGTTATTTCCAAGCAAGGCAGATGTGCTTATATTTATGTGATTAGTTTATTTTGCTATTCCCTTAATGTTGTGATATACAAAATACACATTTGAAGTGTAGCCAAAATCGTATTGGTCTCAGAGATAATGCATGCATCCTAAAATAAAAGTGTGTGTACATGGTAAATGTAGTTTAAAAGAGGATTACAGGCCTCTTATCTTGCATGCTCTCTCTCTCTCTCTCTCTCTGTTCTACTTTACTTTGAGTGTAATAGGACGTCCTTAGGGGTAGCCTGGCTTTGGAAACAAACAGAGCACAGTAATCAGCTGTCAAACCAGTGCCCAAGATTTTGTGTGTGTTTGGTTAATCAGATGGTTTAATATTCGTTCATGCAGGCATCTACAATGTTTATGCCTACATCTCGGTCTGTTTGAGCATATATTAAGTTTGTGTGTTTATACACATATGTTTTTGTGCGTATGTGTGTAAGTGTCTGTAGTTGAGTGCCTCTTGGCTGATGGGGGTAGAAATATATTTCCAGGTGACTAATTTCAGCTATGAAGGGCAAACGTCTAAGCATTTCACTATTTTTTTGTGTGTGCAAAAACACACAAACGGAGGCCCTTGAGACCTGGGGTCTGTTTTGGTCGTGCTAGATTTGTAATTTCAATGTTTAAAAGCGTGTCAAATGTGTGAGCTGCTGTTGTGAGAATTTGTGAGCATGTGCATGTATCAGGTTTGTTGTGTCAGGTAGAGAAACCTGAAAAACCTAGGGACCTCTGAGATCTATTTGTTTATTTCATGTTTTTGTGAGCTGGTAGAAGCAATTTGCATGTTTTCCTAGATAGAATTGCACCACCAAACACACATGCACAGTCACTCTGTGTTTTTTTCTAATGATCCCCCGTGCAAAACAAGCCTAAAATAAAGTTCACTTTAGAGTGGGTAAGTGAGCTGGATTATAAAAGATTAAAAGGGTCTGAGAGAGGAATAGAGAGAGATACATTGAAGAACGAAGAAAGGATGGGTTTTGGGAATGTGTAGAGGAAGAAAAAGAAGAAAACAGTTTGAGAAAGAAAAGATAACAAAACACTCAAGTGGAATAGAGAAATGGAGGGAGGTGAATGACAGACGAGTGATTGAACAGGAGGAATAGAAAGAGGAAAAACTCACTGAGTTCAGGTCTTGGCTTTGAATGGCTCAAAGGAAAATTATTTCAGATGAAAGAAATGGAAAATTGCCCTCTTTGAAACCCAACATACAGCTCTTAATATGCTTTTTAGTGAAAGACTCTCTCTCTGTGTGTGCGTGTGTGTGTGTGTGTGTGTGTGTGCGTGCGTGTATGCAATGGTTCTGTTTGTCTTTGTGCCTGTACTTACAAATCGTCTTCATAACTAGTATTTTAATCTTGTTTTCTAGTAAAATATTGAAACATCTTTATAAACGAGATAGTTGTACTTGAAGTTCAAATGTATAAGAAAATAATATGTTAGAAATTGTGTTTCATTTGTCATTGTGTTTTCAATTTCATTCCTTTTTTCTTGTTTTAACCATACATTTCACAAAATTTTGATAGATTTATGCCCAAAATAAACACATACAAGTTGTCAATGGGGTTATAAAATAAACTTAATTAAGAATATATTCTCTAAAAACCAGTCTTAATATCTTGGCTTATCAAATAAATGTATCTTGTTTTAAGGATATTTTGATATTTTATTGATAAACAGGACATTATGAAATATTATAAAAATAAAAACATTGTACACCTCTGTGGTCATAGTGTCATAAATAAGATGACATACATTAGCATTCAAAGTTTGGGGTCAGTAAGATTTTTTGACTTTTTTTTTAAGAATTCCCTTATGCTCACCACGGCTGCATTTATTTGATCAAAAATGTTTTTTATTTTAATGTTTAATTTCCAAATGTATTCCTGTGATGCAGATTTTAATTTTTAGTAGCCATGACTCCAGTCAAATCCTTCTGAAATAATTCTAATATGCTGATTTGATGCTCAAGAAAAAATTATATTATTATCAATGTTAAAAACAGTTGTTGAAAATCTTTTGTAACGTTATAAATATCTTTACTGTCATCCTAATTTTTCATATTCCAGTCCTTCCACTGATTGCTAATGTCAGACATCATAGACACAAATATTAAACTGCAAAAACACACTCTCACACTGATGATTTGACTTATCCTCTGTGGGAGCCCGAATGTGTTGATTTAATCAGCATGACTAATAATATTTTCCTGCTGTAAGCTACATTAATCATTTAAATAAATGTTTTGTTTAGTTTTATTTAGATGTTGAGTAACCATAGTCTGTTACCCCTGCACTAGTTGTGACTGTTTACAGTAATTAAGATCATTTACTTGTCATTTTGCCGTAATTGCTGTTATTTGTTAGGCCTCAGTGATTATTGGAATATGACAGAAAATGATATACAGTATAGTGCTGATTTGCACCATGTGTCTTTTAGTTTATTGACTGTGTGGTGTGTTAGAGAGAAACAGGGACTGTTTTTGGGAGGTCAGTAAGGAGTCACTGCCTTATAATCCTGTAATCAAACCAGCTGCCTCCTCGCACCCTCCCCCCATTTCTCCTGTACCTCTCTTCCCCCCAAAACCATTTTTTCTTTTCATATTTTCCTCATCTCAGTCTTTCCCACAAACACACTTCCTCGGATATCTTGTATGCTTGATATTACCTTCATCTTTCTGGCATCTATGTAAACACTCCTGCTTCCCTGCCTCCACCCTTCCTCCTCTAACTCCTTTTGCTCTTTCTATTATACACACACACTCTCTCTCTCACTCTCTCTCTCTCTCTCTCTCCCTCTCTCTCACACAGGGTAGCATTTCATCAAAGGAGGATATAATCTCCTTAGACACTGATACATCCAGTGACATTAAAAACTTCAAGCCGCGCCTGTCATCCTCTTGTAGATGCTCACACGTTGTGCTTGATTTTATTTATTTCTAACTTGAGTCAAACACTTTAGCACTGTGGAAAACTGCAAATAATTTGAGCTAAACTGTAATTTACAAAGAGTACATGCAAGCAGTGTTTGGTGGGGTGAGCCAAGCAGGATGATTAAAAAGGGACAGTTCACCTAAAAAGGAAATTCTGTCCTATTCACTCCAGACTATGTGTGATAAACAGACGACAATTTACTTATTCATTCACTGACTATTTTTCGTCCATTGAGCTGTTAACCGTTGCAAAACAAACATTATTTAGTTAGCAAGTTGAACTTGAGAACTGCATCACACCAATTTGTGAATTAATTATTTAGACCAGTTTTGTGACTCGGACCAACTGATTGATTGAATAGATCTGATAAAAAATGTTTTTCATAAATTGGACATTACTACTATTCTCTTAAACACAACAAGGAGATCTACAGCAAATGTCAAGATTTTCAATGAAAAATAACTTAGTCATGTGTTTGGGGAAAGTCGTTATTTCTGGAATTTTGTTTTGCTACTGTGTAAATTTTTTTTTGTAATTTAAAAAAAAAACTAAAAAAAACTGTAAAAATGCTACAGCCAAAACACAAATCAAATTCTGTGTAATTTTACTAGAAAATATTTTTACATTAAATCTATTGTTTTTGCGAGTAAAATATATGAATTACAATACAATTTATGGTGAAAAACAGTTTAGGGTGAGAAAAAAACAGAAAGAACATTCTCAGTATTTATTTAAATAGTTTTGTTTCTTCTCGTATTTGTTATCAGTAATGTACTTTGTGTTAGTATTTTGTGTTAAATTGGATGTTATTTAATTAATGCATTATTTTAGTGCTATGTGTTTTACCCTGATGGTGTTTTGTCTTAGTTTGTATGACTTTGTGCACCATCTATACATTATTGTCCATGTATTTGGCCGATATTTGATCATTGTCCTTGTTTTATGAACTGACCACTTACGATGAACATAATGTGGTTTTCTATTTTACCTACTGTGTTATTATGGTGATTATTAGTACAATTTAATGTGAAATGCAGATTTTGGTAGTTAAAGTATGTAAACGTCAGGGCATTTTATCGTGATTTATCGTGAAACCGGTAATCGTTCCATCCCTATAAACAATACATCATGAAATATATGGTTATAAGTTATATAATATACAAGCACGAATATACATTGTCACCGTAATTTTTTACAGTGAATGGATTAAAATGGCAGGTGTGGTTGAGTCTAAAAGAACGTCTTGTTTCTGTCTGTGTGTGCATGAGACAGAAGTGGGGGATGGATGGTATATTTTATAAGAACTGCTTATCAGTATGAAAGGCGTGATTTTAAGGGGATGACATTGTGATCTAACGTCTCTCTTTCTCCCCTACCCCATTCATTTTATCTTCTGTGCTTTTATTCTTTCACATCCCTGACTCCTCCTTACCAGCCTCCAGCAGCCTCACCCCTCACCCCATCTCGCTCTCCTGCTCACTGTCTGCTGAATCATTTCCTCTTCTGTGTGTAATTTTCTTTCACTCAATTTAAATCGACTTTAGAATGACTTGCTGCCAAGACTGTATTCATGCACTTTATAGCCAAAACATTTTCGAAAATGGAAAGGCAACTGTGAAAATGTCATCAATGTTGTACAAACAGCATGGATATGCTGAATAACATGATTCAGAATTGCTTGGACTGGTGTTAGTGGTACTGGAGTATCAAAGATCTTCAACAGAAACAGCACTCCTGCATGCTTCAGTGGTCACTTTAATGATAATAGTGCAATGGTGTGTATTTTCAAACTCACAGCCCAAAAAGGGGTAAATGGTCCAAATTCAGAGTCAGTGGCTGTAATATTTAAACCCAAACACATATGAATGTATACAGCTGCATGTCAATAGGCTTGCCAAGAACTTGTCTGGGTCATATTTTACCCTAAAAAGGAAATATTTTACCCTCTCAAAGGAAAAACAAGGCCGGTTTTTAGGCCATTCAGATTTTTATGATACATATTTTCCCCAACTCTCATCCCCATAATGCAGAACAATGCCAACAATGACATTTTATTTAAATATAATTGATGCATCATATTAGTATTTGCCTTTAATTTATGCTAATTTAAAAACATTGTATTATAGCAAATAAAGTATTGAAGGGATAGGCCACCCAAAAAATGTAAATTCTGTCATCATTTACTCACCCCCATGCCGTTCCAAACTTGTATCCATTTCTTTCTTCAGCTGAACGCAAAAGATATTTTGAAGAATCTTGGTGACCGAACAGTTTCGGTTTCCCTTGACTTCCATTGTATTTTATGTCCATACAATGGAAGTCAGTGGGAACTGAAAATATTTTGTTACCAACATTTGTCAAAATATCTTAATTTGTGTTCAACAGAAGAAAGAAATTCATACAGGTTTGGAATGACATGAAGGGGAGTAAATGATGACAGAATTTTCATTTTTGGGTGAGCTATCTATTTAAAGTGCAGTCACATTAGCAAAGTTTTGTGGACAAAAACAGTCCATTGCCCACTGTCAGTAGTGTAGTAATGCGCAAAGCACCATTCACAAAGAAGCCAATATCAAACCAAGCAGCTTTCAGTTGGTCAATGCAGCAAATTTGTGTGGAAAAACCTGAATCCAATGTAAAATCTGTGTGGGGAAATGTTTTGCTTATACTCAAATATTAGATTTTTTTTAATTGCATGGATTCCTATTGAAATGACTGAATTTTGTCTGTGAAATTTCACTGTAAAATGGTAAATGTGAACATACCTTTACACTAGTAAGCATCTTATGAGAATAGAATTACAAAAAAAACCCGAAATGCTTGCAAAGCAAAAGGTCTGATCAATAGGTAGTGTGTTTGTTCACAACAACGTCATGAAAAAAGTTTTAAAATCCACATCATTTTTTATATACAAAACAAAATGCCTTCCTCCATCTTTTGATTTTGGGGTGAAATGTCACCTGGACATGTTTTCATTAGGTTCACCTACACAATATCTGCTCAGTTACCGAAACCCTTGAATCTTTTCTTTATTTCTTCCTTTATCCCTCTGTCTTTTCAGCATACTCTCTTTTCAGCTCTAAACTCTCTGTGTGTATTTCTGAAGTTGTATGCACTATATGCCTTTGTTTGTGTATGAGCATAAAGTATGTGTGCGTTTGATGGACATACATGACTCACTCAGCAGCATGTTGCTAATTTCACAGTCAGTGAGCTGTAGATTATATCACAGGCTGTACTGACACCAACCTGACTCAGTTGCATGTTGAGATGGACCTCTGAAGTAGTACAACTCTCACAGCTACACAGCTTTACAACAGTAAAACAGACTGTGTGACTGCAAACTGAAATGATATTTGACTGAACTGTCAGACATGTTCTTATCCCTTAACTTCTAAACTAAAGTGATTTGACAAACTGCTTTTACACATACTGTGATACAGGACAAGGCTTGTAGATTTCAAGTATATTATTGCTCTCTAACTCACTTCATCTTCCTTTGACTCTGTCTGTTTCTCAGATGGCATTCACAGCGTCAGTGCTCAGTGTGTGTTGCGGGTTCTCATCATTACGGAGGAGATGCTCAGCAGCAGCATCACTGTGCGACTCCAGAACATGTCCCAGGAGCACTTCCTGTCCCCGCTGCTCACTCACTTCCTGGAAGGGGTGTCAGCAGTGCTTTCAGTCTCTCCTGATGATGTGTTTGTGTTTAACGTGCAGCCAGATGCAGGAAAGGTGCTCAACGTTAGTTTCTCCGCTGCATTGCCAGGTGGGCAGTTTTTCCCATCGGAGGCTCTGGAGGAGCAGCTGTACCTCAACAGGCCTAGACTCAACGCCCTCGCACATATGGAGGTAAAACAGCTGCCTTGTAAAGATCATTAGATAAGAAAATATAAAATGTATCTTTAAAATAAATGTGATATATCGATTAGAAATTATTAAAACATTGAAATGCAACACTAAATGACCTTTTTTTGCATTTACAAAATGATTTTACTAAGCTGATAGAATAGGAGCATTGAACCAGCCAATGAACGTTCAGCTGAATTTTAAGACACGGCCCTCTAAAACACAGCTTGGATAAAATTTGAAATGTGAATTAAATAAAAGCGGTCTCCTAGTCCTCCATACTTTTTGTGGTGAGACCACACACAAACATACAGACACACTCACACTTCTCTGATGCTGTATTTTGTATTCCGGCAGGTTCTCCCATTTGATGATAACGTGTGTTTACGTGAGCCATGTCAGAACTACATGAAGTGCATCAGCATTCTCCGCTTCAACAGCTCTGCTCCCTTTATCGCCTCCCCATCCACGCTGTTCCGGCCCATCCATCCCATCACAGGGCTGCGCTGCCGCTGCCCTGCCGGATTTACGGGAGATTACTGCGAGATTGAAATTAACCTGTGTTACTCAAACCCCTGCATGAATGGAGGAGTGTGCGCTCGCAGAGAGGGAGGTTACACCTGCATCTGCCGAGAGGATTACACAGGTGAGAGTGTGATTATGTATTTTAGTAAGAGATGTGTTATTGTGTCTTTCTAGATGATGGGAAGTCTTGCAAGGACTTGCAAAAGAACGTCTGGTGCACTTTGCAGTTTATTCTGGCCAAGAATTGCCCACTTATGGCTGGTTCACACTGCCAAAACAAACAGCAACATTTCAAATGTGTACTAAAGTTGGCTGTTGGATGTACAGTAGAATGATGAAAATAAAAACTGTCATGTTCATGCAGCCCAACAGGCAGCAACAGACAGGTTGGCACACTGATCCAACAAACCCAACAACCCTTGGCATTTGATGTTTCTTGTGTGGTTAGACAGGAAAGCACAGAATATCTTTCAAAGATTTGATTATAGGGGTTGGACTGGATATAGGCACAGATTCCCAATCCAATTAGATTCTAATTCACAAACTGTATTCCATTCCGAATTTGATTTGATTCATTTCTGATTAATTTTTGAATGTTTCAGTTTTAATGTCAGTTTTGTTTATGTATGAAAAAAAAAACTTAGCTAATGCTATAAATTATTTAAAGGGTTAGTTCACCCAAAAATGAAAATTAGCCCACAAATTACTCACCCTCAAGTCATCCTAGGTGTATATGACTTTCTTCTTTAAGACGAATCTAGTCGGAGTTATATTAAAAATGTTCTTTGATCTTTCAAGCTGTTTAATGCCACTCAGCGGGTGTTGCATGCATCAGTCCAAAAGAAGTTAAATAAAAAGCGCCCATCCATAAAAAAAAA